ACCGCACGAATGCCCCGCGCACTTCGTGAGGGCGATGTCGGAGTGGTTCGGACGAAGTCAAATGTCCGACCCGCAGGAGCAGAGCCAGATTGCCGCCGCGCAACTCCGCGAGGAGGCGCGCAATTGGTTCGAGCCAATGCGGCCATATGTCACATCCTTTGGGGAATTCAGTCGGAGGCTCCTGGAGAAATTTAATAATGTTGAGGTGTTAACACAGCTCAGAGTGGAGCTGTTTGGCACTCATCAAAAACCGCAAGAAGGCGTGGAACCCTTCCTAATGAAGAAAACCGCGCTCTTTAATCGGCTCTACCCAAACGAGCCCGAACCAAATCGGGTAGAGCTGTGTTTGGGCCTGCTACGCCCGGAACTCCGAAGCCGACTCCGGACTGGCACCTTTCCCACTGTGGAAAGCCTACTAAATATCGCCGCGTTAATTGCATCGGACCTCTCGGAGGAAAACCGTCCCCGCCGGATCAACGGAGCAACGCAGTACCCCGGACCTTCATCTAACACTGGGACAATCGCACGGGCCCAACCCCAGACCAATTAGAGGCAATTGCCTTGGCGCCGGAATGGCCCAAATCATCAAAACCTCCAGCGCCGCGAAGGTCAGCCACAGGAGAGCACAAATGGCCGAGTGTTGGCATTATGCGATGCTCAAAACGCCCAACAAGACGCCCGCGATTTCGGTTTCGGAAATTGAAGGGGGTATGACTAGACTAGTTAAACTTAGTCAAATGGCAAGTTTTCCAGATGAACACCTCTGTTTAGAGCGAGGCTGACATTAAATTCCAAGAGCAAAATCTTAAACTTAAACCCCTTTTTAGACAAGAGAATCTTGCGAGTAGGTGGGCGCCTGCGCCACTCAGACTTCAAATTTTATAAGATACACCCTGTAATATTGTGCTGTAAACATCGTTTATCCAAATTAATTGGTGAATTAGAACATATGCGGTTAATGCATGCAGGGCCGCAACAATGACCTCTTCAATCAGAGAAAAATATTGGATTTTGTCTGCGCGAAACTTAGTTAAGGCTGTAGTACGAAACTGCGTACAGTGCTGCCGTCATAGACCGCAAATTACACATCTCATTATGGGAGATCTTCCCGAAAGCAAATTGGGCGCAAAAAGTGTGTTTAATGCTGTGGGAGTGACTATATGGGACCTTTGTTCATCAAATATAAGAAGGGCCGCGGCGCAAGGTTGTCCAAGTGTTTTGTAAGCGTATTTGTCTGTTTTTCAACCGAGGCGCTGCACTTGGAGACTGTTTCCTCCTTGACAAGTGAGGCCTTCGTAATGGCTTTCAGGAGTTTTGTTGGGCGTCGTGGTAAGCCTAGCCATATATATATATTCGGATAACGGTTCAACGTTTACAGGCGCCAATAGGGAATTGCATGAATTAGGTCGGTTTTTGCTCAAAACCAATGAAACACTTTCCGATCTCTATTCTCAAGATCATGTTGAATGGCATTTCATAATTCTCAAGCACCACATTTTGGAGGTTTATGGGAAGCGGGAGTTAAATCAGTGAAGCATCACTTAAAGCGCGTTGCAGACAATGCTCATTTAACTTTTAAAGAGTTAACCACTCTTCTCATTCAAAACGAATCTATTTTAAACTCTCGACCGCTTACTCCTCTCTCTACCTATCCTAATGACTACGTTCCCTTAACTCCGGCCCACTTTCTTATTGGACGCTCTGCCATGGGACTGCCAGATCGCGATGTAGGACAAGTTCCCGAGTCCAGACTCAGATTTTTTAAGGAATATGTGAGCGAACTTCAAAAACGAGTCAAATGGAAGACTTTCCAATCACAGTAGCAGTCGCGCACCATGGTGCTAATCAAGGAAGATAATGTGCCTCCATTGAAGTGGCGCTTGGGTCGTATTGTGTCCGTGTATCCAGGAAGAGACAATGTGAATAGAGTTGCTGATGTGCACACTGCTAGTGGAGTGATAAAACGGGGATTTTCGAAGATATGTACGCTTCCAGTTGAGGTTTCCACAGAGTGTTAAAACCAGAGTATGATGCTTCAAGCCCGGGGACATGTTCAAGCACAAAGCCAATGTTGGGTCGAATGGTTCTACCTGCTCGGCTCTAAAATGTGTGACGTCGAGAACCGATCGTAAGGGTGCGCGGCTTTGTCGGGTTGTTTGTGCGGTAAACACCATAAAATCAAAGACAGTTTTTTGCCTGAGTTTGAGTTGAGAGGATGTACCGCGAAAGGTTTTAAGGCTGCCCTCTGCTCAAATTTAGGGGCTCATTTTTTGTATAAGTAGTCCAAATAGATACAAGTTTTGATCAATCGTTTTATTTGGGCAAACCAAGAAGAGTCGTTTACAGTCCACTGATTGTCTATCGACAATCATCAAAGATAAAACAAATTCACAACATCCAGTCATCAAACTAATACAACTCTTAATATTTTTGAGTTGTCAAATGCCTTATGGATTGCCAAATTATTCACCAACACTCACAATCAAGTCAAAAACGACCATATACTTTTGTCTGCATATGAATGACAGACACGTCGGTGTTGCTAGTGAACATCAAAATTACATTTACTGACTCCCAATCGTGTCTCTTTGACGAACCAATTGTTGTGATTCCATATGTCAAGTATCAAACCTTCGACGGAAGGTGTGAATCGTTTGCCCGGCAATGATCCCAGTCACAGATCTCTCACAGTATTAAATTAAGACCAAGGTTTGTCTTCTTGAAGCAGCAAAAATGCAAACATTACTGTAATTGAAAGAATATGTTGGCAATCGCGAATCAGCCATGGCCCTTCGGTTTCCCAAGTGCTCGACGGATTAGTCTAAATATGTCCACAATTTAGCCCTTCCAGAACTAAACGTTCCCCAAAATCAAGTCCTCCAGTTTCGTCTGGACCGCTATCAACATTAACCCCTTTTCAATTAACCAATTTCGACATCATTCATGAATTATTCTCGTTTCGTTTTCGAAGTTTCGCTTTTTGCTTTACATTTATAGGCAAACTTTTTGATGCGCCGAAACGTTACCCTTCGTTCTCGATCGAGCTAGATCAATATCCACAATTTGGAAGCTTCTTTTTACAATCCTCTCAGGCGGTTCTAGTTCCAGCAGGATACTTTCAAACCCTTATCGCTATATGACCAATAGCAACGTTTAACAGCGATATATAATGTATATTTATCTTTTGACTCAACTGGTAGTACCTATTCGTTCCTAGGCACAGATGATGGCCCCAGCTTGACTGATTACTTAATGACGGAGTAAGGATGTGTTAGGAATGAAGGTATTGGTTGGGATCTGAGGTTTGGGACTTGCTTTCCTCAAATAATGTATGAGGAGACAGCAAGGCTTGCGTAGGCAGGGTCGCGTCCCTGAAGTAGAACTGTTCCTTGTGATAACATGGAAGTTTCTACCCGCTACCTAATTAAAATAAATACAATCATTAATTTGCCTATTTTATACCTTTATCAAGTAAAACTGACGGTGGCAACGTCCTTAGAGAATCAGGGATCAAAAATTGAGGACATCGAGTGAACATGATCTAGCCTCCAATCGCTGCTAAGCATACAAGTTTATATAGGGTGTCCCACCTGGAACTCCGTAATGGATATATGGTAAACTATAATTGGGAGAAATTTTAAAATTGGACAATATACAGAAGCCATGGGGGGGCAGGCGATCTGAAATATTTCTAAGATGGTCAAACTTCCTAATATAGAGGAAGTAGATACCAACTTGCTTAATTTATATGGAACAACCTACATATAATTTCATTTTTCAATTTTGCTTCAAATTCTAAATAAATTTAATGTAATATAAAGGGTGTTCCAAAAAGAACGACTATGACTAGGATTTAAATTTTAAATAAAACACATATATTTGTGGCATAAGTTGTGTTATTTTGTAATTTAAACCTGAAAGTGACCCAGTCCAAAATTGACGTCTCTGTATCCCAAGTCCCAAAAAGCTAGATGCGATTAAAATGTGGCTCTATCGCAGAATACTAAACATATCTTGGAAGGATCATGTGACAAACAGCGAAGTTCTTAGAACGATAGCCAAAGAAAAGGAGGTAGTGAATACTGTGAAAATTCAAAAACTCCAATCTTTAGGGCACATCATGAGAAATGATAGGAGGTTCCATTTACTACAAACCATCTTGCACGGAAAAGTAATGGGGAAAAGATGTGTTGGTAGAAGAACCTCAGTTTAGAAGAACCTGGTTTGGTTTGAATACTACGAAACTGTTTCGAGCAGCAGCAGCAGCAGCAGTGAATAGGGTATATATACGTGGATAAGGAATAGCATGTATGATAGCCAACATCCGAAACGGATAGGAACTGTTGGAAGAAGAAGAAGGAAGTTCCCCAAGTCCACACAGGTCCACTAAAATATGTTTTGGTCATGACCACGTTCCCAAACCATTATCTTATAATTTTTGGCTCAGTTCAAAAGTGCATTTACCAAAAATTTGTGTTTTAGACTTGGTCGGGAAGCTTCAGCTTTGAGCCCACGGTACGCACTTATTAGATGTTTGGTTGCAAACAAACCTTAGCACAATTGATGTCATAGTTTAACAATGACTGTGGTGCTAATTCGTCACTTAACGCCTGTTAAGCGATAATAAACACCTGCTTAAATAACGTTGTTTTATCGTAGCGTATCTTTTGCCATTTAGCTTAATTATTTCGTTCTTGTATGTCAATTTATTATTTCACAAATCTACGGTCTTTGTTGAGTCCTTAGGAGCTTTTGGACAGAAGGCAAAAGTTAAAATAGCTTCACAAAATTAGTTATATTTTGTAATTTGCCCGCCAAATGCATATGTGCAATTAATTTATTATTTAATTCTACGGTATTTTCAATATTTATTGTCCACTTTTATTTAGAAAATTGTTTAATTGATCTAAATAACTTCATAGATTCATCATGTAAATATGAATGAAAATACTCAATAAATATATTGTTAGGGTTAAATTTAAGGAAGAATACGATCGATGCAAAATTCAATAATTTTAATGAACGCCTTTCACCGTCCACAGCCAAATCAATAATAAATAAACCCTTGGCAACGCCACCAGTTGTTTTTCCCACAAAATTTTCCCCCAGACAGCCGTGCCGTCTTCTGTCCCAGCCCTGAAGTAGCCCCGATGTTGCCACTCCCGTCCTGGGTGTGTCCCGCCTACCAGTGTTGCCGCTCTCGCCGTGGTTGCTCCGTTTTCCCAGGTTGCTTACAATATTTTTGTAATTCTATTTGTACAAGGTTGCACATGAAAGTATTTTGAAGTGAAGAAAAATGGGCCAATGATGCCTCCTGCCCACAATACATACCAAACAGTGACTCTTTTTGGATGCATCTGTTTCTGAACAATCACTCGTAGATTTGCGGAATCCCAAATGCGACAATTTTGTCGGATAACGAGGCCATTAAGATGAAAATCGTCACTAAAGATTATTTTCGTTCAAAAATCACCATCCAATTGTCGTTCCAAAATCCAACCAACAAATGCTTTTCGTTGCCCATGGTATTCCGGCTTTAGCTGTTGAGCCATTTCAACGTTGTACGCATGAAGCTTCAAATCTTTTGTTAAAATTCGATGCATGTGGTTGTGGAAAGCTGAACTCTATGCGGAATTGATGTGGTTGGGCTTTCTTCAACATTTGCACGTACTGCTGCGAAAAAAAATACCTTTTTTTCGTACTTTTCTACATCGTTTCGTTTCTTTGAAATCATCAAGTTTTGTTTTTCATATAGACCGGAAAAGGTACATAACGTATCCGAAGCTCTTCTAACAGCGAAGTCAACGAAAGCTATAAGACCGTATAATTTCTACCGGTACTTGGGTCAAAATGTGAGCGCTTTCCATAATTTACAGACATTTTTATTAGTAAGCGATAACAAAATTGAACTTGTCAGTTCTAACATATGTCAATAAGTATTTAATACACATCAGTATAAGAATTTCTCAAGAGATTTTTATTTTTCAATCACGAGAAGATCTATCAGAAGTTATGGTGGCGTTTCCTGGCCAGCACGATCGCCAGACCTGACTCCACTCGATTTCTTCCGGTGGGGTTACATTAAAAACCAAGTTTACGTTTAACATTTTGACACTGAGGACCGACTTTTGAGGGCAATTACCAAAGCATTAAACTCCATAACTTCAGACCTAGTATCTAGAGTTCTAGAGAGAAGTAGATTCAACGGTTAGAAGAGCGTACCTGAGTTTAGAAAATAATAATTTCCTTTTTGAACCTTTATTATACACTTTTTTAATTTTTTTCTGGTTTTAGTATGTTCATTTTATTTAAATTACTATTTTTGTATCACTTTTTTGCAATGCAAGGTTTTACACTGGTTTTAATAAGTTTAGTAACTGACAGGTTCAAAGCTAGATGTTTGACCTATGAAGCTGTATTCTTTCAGGACATTTATATAAAAAAAGTATTTTTTGACGGAAGAACCGCTACAAATCGCACTGTGTTAGGGCACATATGCAATAAGCGGGTACCCGTAATGTGGCCTGCCGTCAGGTTGCTCGTAGTATGCGGTAATCGCAACCGCGGCTTCCAATTGAAAGCCGCAATCAAGTGCGGCCAAAACTCAGTAATCAATAATAATTTCAAATACGGACGTTGACGAAGTCGTAACCATTTATTATATTTATTACATCTACAAACGTTATACAGTGTGTCGCACTTAAGATAAAAACACCCCTGTATTATATTTATTTCTGGAAGCCGGGTTTTCCGTTTCGGTACATAGGGAGAGCGTCATGAGCTTAATTTGTTAGGGTACCCATTTCTAACTTCAGATGAAAACGCAGCCTATTACGACTTTGCGAATAGGTGCAATTCGCTATATTTTGCGATGCGTTAGAGATATCGGCAAAAGTTACTAGAAAAAGTTGTTCAGAATGTTATTTTAACGGTAAATAACGAGTTTGAAGTCAAAAGTCAAATTTTGGCGTTTTTTTTAATTTTCACGCGAGGTCCGAAGTTTTCACTAAAGCAACGAAAAATGCAACAATACCTGACGAACCTTATGCTTGATAGTACCCCAGAAATAGAAACTTAATGTAAGGTCAGGAGAGCGGGGGGCTACTGTTCGAAAGAGCTTTTTCTGATGCACCGTCTACTTGGAAAAGCATTTTGTGTCACACGTTGATAGGCAGATCTTCGATAACATCCCATAATTCGTTATTAAAAAAATTAATCAATCGCTTAGCATGTGACGTAGTGTAGAAGGAAAACGGAAAAATTATTCTGTCATCTAAAATTCCGCACCACACATTAACTTTTTGTGAACAAATTAGAAATTGGCGTAAAAATTTAAAAAAATGCCAACATTTTATTTTTGACTTGAAACTCGGTACAGACTGTTAAAATAACATTCTGATCAACTTTTTCTAGTAACTGTTTCCGATATCTCTAAGGCATCGCAAAATATAGCGAATTGCCCCTTTGCGCAAAGTAGTAGTAGCAGGTTTTTATCTAAAGGTAGAAATGGGTACCCTAAACAATTAAGCTCATAACATTCTACCTCTGTACCGAAACTGAAAACCTTGATTCTAAAAATAACAGAAATACAAGGGTGTTTCCTTCTTAAGTGCGACACATTGTATAAAAAGCAAAAAAAAACCGAACCCACTGGGTACATCCTTTTTTGAAAACCCGAGAAGAAAAAAAGCAGTTTGCAATATTCTTCGAAGAGCTGACAAAATATGAAGATAAGTTTCTTGGATATACAAGAATGAGTTTAAAAAGATTTAAAAAATATTGAGCATTGTGAAAACATTTATCTCAAAGAAAGACACCCGACCATAGATAAAGACTGAAAAAACACACGAGGTCGGCTACCGGCAAACTGAACGAACAGTCTAAATTGTAAACGTGCGGCGGGCCGCTAGACGGGCCGCCTGGATCCAAGCAACCGTTCGGCCAAACGTGAAGCCGCATGAATATGTATGGATAAAAACCGTGTCGTTCCGTAAAAGATAACATACATTTTTATTGCATTCAACATTTTTTTAATTAATTCGGTCAACCGGGCGGCGGGCCGCAACACGGTTACCCGCTTAGTGTGTATGTATACTTATACATCATTAAATTCGCTATTATAAGACCTATCTAATACGTTATGTACTTTTTTCCGGTTCGTATAAAAAACAACTGGCTAATTGCCGGTTATGGAGCTAGCCAATCCTGAAGAAGAAAACTCCAAATTAAAATGTAATTCTCTATTCTGAACGCAAAACTATTCCATATCATCAGTTGTTATCAGCGTAAAGTTGTGTCAACGGTTGATTTGAATGAAGAAGATTTTCAAAAGTTTAAGTGGTTTTTCTGCAAGGACATAGAGGATGTGCATTTTTTTTCCATTGAAACTGCTTTATTTTTATTGTACTTTAAGGAAAAAACAGAAAGAACGCCAAACTCCGATAGACATAAATTACATGAGCACCATACGAATTAAAGATGAACATTGAACCCGTACAATATCTTATAGGAAAATATAAGTACTGCACGGGATAGTACCATTTATCGTAATCCTTTACCCTACATTCGTGCATACGCGCAGTCGAAAATCGCATACTGGTCAGCAATGTTGCCGAACTGCCACCAAAGTAAAAAATTACAATAAAAACAAAAAAATTATGCATTCAAGGTTCAAAACTTAGCAGAATTACGTCCATACACGAAATAGTAGACGACACTGATGAGCTCATACATATCGATGGTTCAGTTCAACAAACAGAGCAACAAGTCCAAATTTGGCCATTTTTAGTTTAATACGGCAATATGTCCAAAATTAAGTAGTTAATCTTTTGCATACAGCAACAACACGAAATGATTGAACTTGTCAACTTTAAATGATATATTTCCTTATTGCGTTAAGCCGAATTTATAATTATTCTAGTTTAACGAAGCAACAATTAGACATGTTGCTCTTTGATTTAAATGTATTCGATAATTATGACCATAGAGCAATATTTTGAGTTATTGCCTTATGGTACTGAACAAATCGCAAATATCTTATGTAATTCGCAGCAAATTTTGAGATTAATTGCTTGTCATTATTTTTTTGAGAGAATCGTGGGTTTAATGTTTGTGCTTTTCGTTTATTATAAATAGTTATTTAATTGCACAATGTATCAATTTAATTGCATGCAACGGTGTGGCGAAACAAGAGCTCAATATATGTTGCGTTTGGCAAGAAAAGAGGCAGTTTTTTACAAAGTAGGCAACAAAGTTTAAATTCATGTTTTTTTCAAATAAATAATAAAATAACCAAACTCCATTTGAAGGAAAAATCAGCCCAAATCGATGCGGAGAAAAAAAGTAATAAATGAATATACAAAAGATGGAACCTATACTATAATAAAAATAAATGTGGAGCCAGAATATACAGCGGACTTGGGTAGATACAGAAAACAATATAGAGGAAAACAATATGGGTAAAAAATATTTCGTTAATAACAATAACAACTTGATCGAATTAACAGATGGCACCAACCAAACCAATAATATTATTATTGCAGATAATGTTTCACACTTAGAACCAGAAGAGCACATTATTATCAACCATGATCAAGTTGTTGAGACTTTTTTTGGTAGATAATTTGCAGGGACAACTAGAGTTCTTAAATGTGGACACCCAGAACATCGTCCAAGTTGGAGATAATATTGATAATGAGTTTGCTGAGGAGATAAATACCATTATGGCAAATACCATTGAAGCTACTCTGGGAAATGTACAGGCACAAGATCAGAATATATCTCAACAGAATGCACCTCCTTCAGATACTTATTTACAGTAAGCATTCTATTGACATCGATTCTACCTGTTCGCCTGGCCACTTTTCTACCCACTCTTTTGAGAGCGATTCTTTAGAATCCAGTGCAGAATTTGACCTACCGGAAACTGAATAATGCAGAAGCTGTCGCTGAAGATGTTAATAACCACGACAATGAATCTGATACTAATTTGACGAGAAAACGCTTACGAAATCCTGATAAATGGGAAAGGTCGGTCGCTAAGAAGAGAAGAAATAACGGATTAGAATATGTTAATATCCGAAAAGAAGTAGTTGTTGCTCGTAAAGTTGGACTGATTTGCAATGAGAATTGCAGGCTACAATGCAGATATCTTTTTACTGAAGAAGCGCGGGATGAAAATCATAAAAGCTTTTGGAGCATTGGAGACATTAATCGCCAGAGAGACTATTTTTTGCAATGTATGCAACAAATCAATCCTAAATGCATACACCCAATAATTAAAGTTAGAGTTAAAAGTTTTCTACAACAAAAAAAAAATACAAAAAAGCAATAAATTTGTATCTCAACACAACAACTGATTAAAAGACGGGCACCTCAACATAGGAAACAAAGTGGACATGTCGCCTAATTACTAGTTTCATACGGCAACAAGTCACAAAATCATTACTAACGTCTTTAAAATTATTAAGACAAGTACTTTTTGTGACTTATTATTGTTATGAGACGCTCTGCTAGCAACAATCGCAGAACAAATAAATGAATCAGACTTTAGTCTGTTGTTTATTACAGTTTCAAAAAACCTGTAATATTTAACATTGAATTTCTCAAAACAATTATTTTTGACTTGCTGCTGTATGGAACTGAACCATCGATATCGGGGCCCAGCTGATTGCAGCCAGCAGATTGAAAATGAAATTAATTGTGTATGCATGCAAGGAAAATAAAATAAAGTATTTTCAGCTTTAGTTTCTCTATGGATGTCTATGAACGTGAAGTTTTTAATCGGTTAATTGGAATTATGATGAGTATCGGAAAAGTAGTGAAAATATACCATTTGGGTATTACTTATTACTATATATTTTATATCAAATAGTTAAGTATATTAAATCATTTGTTTACATGAAAAGGTTAAGAAAGTGGTAATGTTAAGAAAGGGCTAATATAGTACTGACAACTACGCGAAAAATTTCGGCGGAGCGCCGCAAAGAGCTGAACCATCAGGACGACCGTTGATTTGTTTTGGAAATTGGTGAATTTCAAAGACTGAAAAACTGAAAGGAAAACGGCATTATGTCGAAAAATGTACATATAGGAAAAATCTTGTTTGTTATGAAATTTTCTATAAGGTGAGTAGTCTTAATCGGCAATCCTAGTACCAAACTGTAGTGTAAAGGATTGCCTATTTTATTAATTATATTATAATTTGAAGTGTTCTTTAAGGAAAAAGACAAATTCGGAGGGACTCAAAGGACACAATCAACATACGGTCATTACGGCTGTTTACTTCACAAATTAACACTTACTGGTATTCTATTCACTGTATTTGATGATCACTCTACACTTTTCTTCTGATTACACCAGAATTTGCAGCAACATGAAATAAAGAGTTCCTTTACTTCTATTATCTGCACGATCTTGCACTCGTCTTTATCTATGTGCACGCATAGATAAAGAGTGCACGATCCAATTTGACATGTCGTGCAGAGAACGTGAACGATCCCATCGCCGATGTGATCATTTCCTTCCCCGCCCTTTCTACTATGGTT